TTTTAATCATTTTTTTCTTTTATTTTCTTGATAGGGGATTTAGTGATTTGCCACTTAATAACATTTTCCAAAGAAACATCAGACAGACCTAAAGATAAGCTTGTTAGGATCTGTGTGGTATGATAGTTCACCTTCCTATCACTAAGTTACATGGGAAAGTCATGCTTACCACTTTGCACCATCCTATGTTCCCTGAGGTTGGAATAATGTTTATGAAGGTAGACCCTTGACCTTGTGGGGTGATGATAAGCCAGCCCAGACCTGAGTCTCACTGCTGCAAGGGCCTTCACAGACAGGCACAGTGGGGTCCATGCTTCGATGATACATGTCAAAACACGGGTCTGTCACACAGATGTGCAGATCTTTTCTTGGTGCCTGGGGAATTGTAGCACCCTCATCTGTGATCATTGGCCTAGTGATAGCTGTGAGAGTACCCCAGTTCCATTGCAAGGAACTGAAACAGTGGAAACTTGGGCCTCTCTCACAGGTGCACAGGTCACCATGTAATGTGAAAATACATCTACAGAGGATCTGTCTGTGAGCTCTGCACTGTGCTTAGGGTTTTCAGTTTCTACCCAGTGCTGGCTCTCACCATGGTAGACTTGGCATTCGACTCTAAGATGAAGCCCTGTGCAGCTTTCATGCCCTGCCTCCCAGTAGGTGAATCAAGTCCTGCTGTCTACTATGCCTCCTAAGCTTAGAGGAAGGATTGGGGGGAGCATTCCCTGCCTCAGGGCCTAATGCAGTTCCCGTGACTCAGCCTACTGGTATTGGCCTGGAAATAGAAGTCATGGTGCCCCACACTGAATTTCACTGTGGCAGGCCTGTTACTAGGTTTCAAGTCTAAGGCTTTGACATGATTCTCATTCCTCCTCCAAGAAGGAGGAGTCTCTCTCCAGGCTGATCTGCTTAGAGTTGGGGGAGAAGTAATTTATTGCCTTGTTCATTGCATCTTTTCATGGCTGCTCAATATGATGATTTTTTTGTTGATGGTGGTGGGGTTTTTGTTTGTTTGGTTGTTCTTTTGATTTTTGTTTTCAGCAGAGTTTCCCTGTAGCCCCAGCTGACCTGGAACTCGCTACTCAAGCCTCTGCCTCTTGAGTGCTAGGATTAACGACATGTGTTACCATGCCCAGCCTCAATATGTTGTTTTCTAGGGAGGAATCACTGAATTATCTTATCACCCTCTTTCTTAACAGTTCCTATTGATATATCTCAAGAAACCACAGTGGTGCCTGGCTCACAAGTGCTCATTGAATAGGGATTTTTGAGTGTATAGTTTGGTGTATTCGTACAGTTCCAGTTCTGCAGCCTCGCTGACACGGCATTGACATTATCAATATACGATTTCTCTATGTATCTCATTCCTTGTCTGACTTGCATTTCCTTAAATTCTAATGTGATTGATCACTTTTTCCTGTATTTATTAGTTATGTATATTTCCTCTTATGGAAAATTCATCAGTCTTGTGCTCATATTCCTCTTGGTTGTCTATCTTTTTCTTATAGATATGTATAGGATTCCATATATTCAAGACTTGAGTTCTCTAATAGTTGTGTAATAAATATGTAATTCTATGATTTCTCTATCTCTTTATGGAATTTTTACATTTATTTATTTATTGGGGGGGCATTGTGCCATGGCATGCATGTAAAGGTCAGAAGACACTTGCAGGGAGTCAGCTGTTTCCTTCCACCTTGTGGGCCCTGGTGGTTGAACTCAGGTCCCCAGGCTTTGTGGCAAGTGCCTTTACCCACTGAGCGATGGGGCCTGCCCACTTTATGACATCTTTGATGAATAGAAATTTCTTATTTTAGTTCAGCTGAATCAACCAATTGTTTCTTTAATGATTACACTTTCTGTATCTTAAGAGATAAATGTTCCTATGCATTGCTGGTAGCAACATAGAATAGCACAACTCCTACAGGGTGGAATTTATATAGGAAAATCACATATCTATTTCCTCTTCATCTTAGCAATTTCATTTCTTAGAATCTATTTCAAAACTAATTTTGAAAAATACCAAATCCAATATATACAAGGTGATTTGGGGGAGGCATTTTTCAAAACAGCATAAAACTGAATATAAGACCAATGTTTATCAGGAAGAAAGCATCTGAATACTTATTATACATATGTACAATGAATATGTAACTGTAAGAGGGAAAAAGAAGTTTTACTTATTAATATAGAATTGTGTATAGGATATAGTATTAAATACCAAAACAAGCAAGTTAAAGAACAATGTTTATAGTAATTTATCTTTGCATAGGAGATGGGATATAACTAATGAATTTTACATATGTGTGTGTGTGTGCCTATTTACTTATATTGTGAAAAGAAAGGAAAAACTAGAATCATAGGCCAAACTTAAAAATATTTATGGGGGAGGAAAGGAATGGGATGAAGGGAGCACAGATGAAATGATACTTCTCTAAAGGTACTGTATAACAGTTTTCACTTTAGAGCTATATACATGTTTTGCATAATTAAAAATTTAATAAAAATTTTAACCAGAAAGAAAAAAAGGCTGGAGGATATAGCTCACAGTCGAGTGCTTTCTTAGGATGCACTAATCCCTGGGTTCAATCCCCAGCATCACAAAAAACCAAGGGAGAATAAATCCACAAAATTCAAAAACAACCTGAAGCAAATAAACTAAATGACAAATATACTTGATAACATAGCCACACAGAGAAAATAATTACTTGCAGTGCTTTTTAAAGTAATACATATGTATTGCTAATGACGTATGCTCTGAGGACCAAGTAAGTGCAAAAAAATATAAGACTATGTTCAATAGTCTTATTAATCATAGTTATATTAGTATTGCTTTTGAAATTTTACAGATATATAAGGATATTGTAAGGAAAGGCTAATAAACTACTTTGCTAATATTATTAGAATGTGAAGAACTGAAAATATAGACCAATAATAGAGCACTTGGCCAGGAGGCAAGGGACCCTGAATTTGATCTCCAGCATTGCCAAAATAAAATGCATTAAAGAAGATAAGAGTCTACAATCAAAGAGTTTAAGTAAAAAACCCTGTCATGATAAATTTGAGTTAGAACTGTTAAAATGAACTTAAGATCTGTTTTTCTCATAAACTATCCTAGCTTTGTCTACTATAAAGGCCTGGAAACAATGAACACTCGGAACAACAGTGCTTTCTAAGTACTTCTCACTAACAGGAACCAGGAGCCTTGGAAGAAACACTCTAGGTTTGACTTAGAAAATGTGCAAGATAAGTTGGGATAGCTTCCTGTGCCAAGAAATCAGGAAATCAGGAAATCCAGAAGCCATATCAGAGCTGATTTTTTTTATTTATTATTTTTATTTTATATGTGTGAGTGTATTGTCTGCACATGTATAAATGCACCGTGTTGTGCAATGCCTGTGGAGGTCAGAGGAAAGTGTCGGATCCCCTGGAACTGGAGTCACAGATAGTTGTTAGCTGCCATGTGGGTGCTGGGATCATCCTAAGTGGAATAATTTGAACACCATCAAAGATAATGACTCTTCAAATGAAACTCTCACAATGTATAAAATACATGATTTCATAACTATACTAAAAATAACCATTGATCACCATTAGATGTTTCTAAAGATGGGAAATAATCAAACATTTACTCTGTTTTTCTTATATGAACTGTCTTCAGGGAAAACTAAGGAGTTGATGATAATCTGTTCATAATAGATTCCAGATAAAAATACAAAAGAACTCATAGAGTTCTGGAAGCCCCATTTTGTAACTCTCAAGTATAAGTTAAGAAATTAATAAATCTTAGCAGTAATCATCACTGGATATTAAGGCACATTACTTACAGGGTGAATGTGAATACATAATTATTGAGAGATGTCACAAACACCACATAGATCTAATTAATTTCAGCGTCACTAAAGATGAGAGCACTGAATGTTATGTGCCTCATAACATGGTACATTAAGAAGTACACATTTATATATGAAAGATTCTTGCCTAAAATATTGAACATGGATCTAATCAAACCTTTACAGCAACAATGTTTAATGCAACTTTCTAGAATGGGATAAATGGTCTTTATCTCTTCTGGATAATATAGTATCCAAGAGTAATTTTTGTATGTTGGGCATTTGAAATGCCAAATTTGACTCAGAAATTGATATTTAAAAATTAAACACATGTGGCTGGTGACTACTGTATTAGACTGTTTAACTGCTAAGAAATGGAGGGAAATAGGAATAAGTTATCATCAAAAAATACTCTATTAAATTCATTTGTTCACAGAACAAATAATGGTTGTCTATTATCAATGGGTAGGGTTTGAGAAAAGAAGCTTGGGATGGAACAGAAGGGGCACTGTTTTCAAATAAAATATGTAAATGCTGTAACATCCCAAAACTTATTTAGATCTTGATTAAACAACCAAGTATAAAAAAATCTTAGAAATAATCAAGATAATTCAAATATGAACTTTTGATATTAACTGATACATAAGGATTATTAAGTTGATGAGTGTGAAAATGCCATACTGCTTATACATTTCAAATGTGCTTGTGAGTTAGAGGTATGTATACTTGCATGCTCTTGTGATTTCTGGGTTTGCCTCATTTGATTTGCCATGCACTGACCTTGCTTGAGATACACTGTCTTAACATACACACACACGCACACAGACACACACACACACACACACACACACAAATAATAATAAATGAAATAAAAAATTTAAAAGGATACAGATTAAAATAGACAAAGAAACATCAAGTAGGCCACAAAAGATAGTAGGTTCGGGGTATTCCTTCTTGGGGGCATATTTACAGAGCACTCTTCTGGATCCGATGGCGGCTAAAGATGCATAGGGTGGAGCTGGGCATGAGTTGTATTTGCCATGTCTTGTAAAGACCTTTCCTAAAAGAGTTTCTGTATCTGAGATCCAGATTTTAAGTTTTATTACTTTGTCAAAAGTTGTACCAGTAGGCTTTGTAGAACTTCCCTATCTCTTTGTCTTGATCCAGATGAATCCCCAAAGAAGAACAAAGGTGATCCCATGAACAACCTGGAAAGTTTTTACCATGAGATGATAATGAAAAAACGTCTTGAAGAGTTCCAACTTATGAGAGGTGAACCCTTTGCTTCCCACTCACTGGTCTCAACTACGTCAGTGGGTGATAGTGGCACAATTGAGAACCCATCACTACTCCAGGACAAGGGAAAACAGGCAGCACAGGGTAAAGGCCCCAGTCTCCATGTGGCAAAAGTTACTGATTTTTCACCTGAGCAGTGTTGGACTGGGCCTCAGAAGCTGACACAACCAGTAGAATTTGTCCCAGAAGATGAGATCCAGAGAAATCGTTTGTCAGAGGAGGAGATCCGAAAAATTCCTATGTTTTCTTCATATAATCCAGGGGAACCAAACAAGGTATAGGCCAGATCAAGAAAACAACATGGATTGTTTTCACTTTTATTTACCTCTACCTAAAGTGCATTTTAAAATTAGCTTTGATTGTGACAAAGATTATGTCATAGGTACAATGATTCTGTTTGTCCTTAACTTTAACCATGAATTTTCTCTATTCTATGTAAGTAACCTATTTCCTAAAATGTTCTTTGTGCCTTTCTTCGGTCCTAAAGACCCCTCGGAATTTTAAAGAAATCTTGCTGAGACTAGCTCATACCCATTAGAAGCTCTGAATCCTAATAATTAACCACCTGGCTTTACACAGAGTTAGCTTTTAGTTACGTTGTGAGTTGTACCTTCAGAACACTGCACCTGACTTTCATACAGCATGTGAGTTCCATTGCTGTTAGCAAAGCAGCAAAGCGAAAACACAGTTCCTCTGAGCTTTGAGAAACTGACAAACCAGAACCAAGTGCAGTTGTATATAATTTGTATTTTATTGATCAAATCATTGCCTATCCACGCTGTATGTTGCATCTGGAAGTGAAAACTCTTAATTACCATGTTACCAAAAGAGAGCACAAAGCCCCAAAGCATTATGAAACAAAACCGGAAAACCAGTTTTCTGAATGCCCTGATTTTTTTGAATGGATAGAAGAATACTAAAGCACTTTGATTGATTCCAGTATGTTACCGCTATTAAAGGTAGCTTAATTTTTATTTGCTTTTTTGTTGTGAACTATTACTGGCACACCAAAGAATAATAAATATCCCATGAATAAATTAAGGAATACCTGTATACTTAGCTAGCCATATTTACCAAGTCTTAATGATTTCCATATTTGCTTAATTATAAAAATAGTAAAGCATTATGAATATACCTGAAGAATTCCATGTATTCATCAGTCTCATTCTTTCTCCTTTCCAGATGGAACCACTATTCTGAATTTGCTAGTTCCATCCTCACGCATATTTTTATGTCTTTACTACATACGTATATACAACTCTCCCTACCTTACAATAGCTCAATGTACTTTTTATTTACTTAATGACTGTGTGAAAGCAATATGCACTTAGAGGAAACTGTACACTGAATTTTAAATTTGGTATTTTGTCAAGCCAGTGATGCGTAGTGTGGTACTACGGTACTTTCTTGTGATTGTGAACACACACAAAAATCTATAGCTCCATTCAGCTATGTAATCATGAGGGGAAAGCACTAACACTCCAGAGTACTGGGAGATTGAGCTACAATGTTCCATAGTTTAGGTGCAGTTTCAACTTACGATACTGTCAACTTACAAAGGGCTTATCAAGACAACCCCATTTTAAGCCCAGGTGTATCTATATTCATAAACTCTGTAGTTGTTATCATCTACATGTTTTTCTTTTGCTAGTTTTTTACTCAGTCAACAATGTTTTTAAATTTTATTTTTAATGATGCAAGGAACTATTCAATATCCCATTATAGAAATGTGCCATAATTCATTTATCCATTTTCTAGAAGATTCGTGCTTTCCATTATTTTACCACTGCAGATAACTGTAACAAACACTGTTATACATATCTTTTTTCCAGTACTGGAGATTGAACCTAAAGCCTTGTGAATGCTTGGCAAACACTCTTCCCTTAAGCTATGTCCTCAGCCTTCATTTTCACTTTTTGTTTTGAGATAGGATTTTGCTAAGTTGCCTAGGCTAGCCTTGAGTTCACTATGTAATTCAGGTATGCCTTGAACTTGTAATCCTCCTGCCTCAGCCTCTCAAATAATTGGGGTTATAGGCTTGAATCACCAGGCCTTGCTTGTATAGATCTCTTACTGAGCATTTGTAAGAGTTCCTCCTGGACAATAATTTTTAAACATGAGTTATAATTCTGAGGGCACACCAGCAGAGTTGTAAGTAAATGAATAGAAGAATAGAATGGAGTTATAAATGAAAATGTATTCCATATAATTGTATGTTATACAATTAATTGCCTTCTTAAAGCTTTTTATTTCTTTCTGTGCATGCATGTGCCTCTAGGAGGGTGAAGGAGAAATGTATGTGGGTTTCAATGTGTAATGCAGCTCTTCCTGTAGATCTCAATCAAAATATTGAGAAGTATATAGTCTTTTGTGACATTTCTCATGTATTAGTATAATGAAAATCACCTGAACATAGATTGCTGGGCTTCACCTGTACAATTTTTGACTTAGTATGTCTGGAATAGGGTACAGAAATTTGCATTTGCAACAAGTTCCCAGGAAATGTTGATGCTGTTTAAGAGTGACATTTTAAGAACTGTTAGTGTAGTTGCATACCTAGGAATACATTTACTGAGATACAGGATATGCATACCTTCCACTTCCAGTTAGCAGTATTTCAGAGGTTCTCCTCCTGCCCTTGCCAAGACTTTATAATACTAGGCATTTAATTATGCTAGACTAATAGTTTGGAAAGGTAATTAATTTTCTTAAGCTTGCATATTCTTTATTTGCAGTGAAGTTATACATAAAGTTTACATTTATTAGTCCTTCTTCTATCCTTTGTGAGTTAGCTTTTCTGTTCACTGCCCATCATTTAATTTGTTTTCTATACTTATTTATTTATAGGGATTATTTTTCAATTACTGACATAAATCCCTGCTGTTTAACTAGTAAATATCTTCTCCCAGAGAGTGGCTTATCTTTAGAACAGTAATTATGAGGTCTTTTGTTAAGCATTAGTATTTTATTTTAATTGTATCAAATATCAATCTTCTTGATGGCTTATACTTTCCTGAATCATTTTCTGAGATATATGAAGGAAATCCTTCTCTATAAGTCATTACGAAAAACACAAACAACCTCATAAAACTGCGCAAAAGAGACAGCAGACAAATGCATGGATAGCCATTAAAATTGAGAGTCTTCACTAGTAATTAAGAAATGCCAAATAAAGCTACAATAGTATCTATCATTTATTATCCAGGATATTGGCATACATTTAAAAACCTAACAATGTCAAGTATTGATGAACATATAGAATAAGAATTATTTTTTGTCCTTTAAGAATATAATATTTTTATTATTTTTTGAGACTTTTAATTCTAAATACTCTTGAGAACATCCACTTTTAAGAATATCGTGACAGGTGTTAGAGAGATGACTTGTAGGTTAAGGGCATTGGCTGCTCTTGCAGAGGACCTGTGTTCAGTTCCCACATGGTTACTAAAAACCATCTTTAATTTGAGTTCCAGGGGATATTCTGCCCTCTTCTAACCTCCAAGGCATTGTATGCACATGCACTGGTACAATTACAGACAGGCAGACAAAAGACTCATGCACATGAAATAAAAATAATCGACTACAGGAGACCCTGTCTTTTAAAGATAAATAAATAAATAAATAAATAAATAAATAAATAAATAAATAGCAGGTAGTTAATATGAATCATATTGTTTATACACACCAAAGAAAACCCATCATGGCAGTAACTAGTAAGACTGAAGATGCTTATACAGTATACCTGAGTAGTCTCATTTGTATGCAGGCATCCATGCTAGAAAAATTTTTGAATATGCATATTAGATCTCACAAGCGTATTTGTTTAGCATTGTTTGTGAACCATGTATATGCTTATTAGCAAGAGTATGGAGGAAGCATAGCATGTTCATAAACTAGTACACTATACAATAGAAGAAACAAAATAGAACTGTCAACATGGATAGAACTCACAGATAGTTTTGAATTTAATAAAGCTTGTTAAAGCTAATCCGGTTTCAGCTCCATCCTGTCAAGTGTTTAGAAGCCATCACTCACTTCTGATAGTAAGAAAGCAAAAATATCTGAACAACTGAAAATAAATGACAGTTCCTGTACCCATTACAAAATTGAAATCAGAGGACAAACTATAGCCCTGAAATCTAGAAAGGTGAGCAGTTACAGAAAATCACATATCAGATCTGCTCATAGGAGCCATGAACTACTAGGAACACTCAAATGACCAACTGATGGAAGTAGAATATAGACTAGTGTGAAAGTGACAAACTCCTGAGGACAGAAACCTTAGGTGGTATCCCTTGCTCCCCTACACATACATGTTCATGACTTTTACTTCCATATAGTCCAACTCCTTGTAAGTTTAATACAACGTCAAACTTGTGGCCTGTTTTCCTCAGTTCTTATTACTTAATAATTGATGCCTGGCTTTCTGAAAACAAAAACTAATATCGTCATACATACAAAAAGAAATACTTTTGAAGAAACAAAACAAGCCTGAGAACCAAACTCGTATATGACATAGATTTGGAAATTAACAGATACAGAATTTAAAACAATTATGATAAGCCTACTGAGGCATCTGTTATTAAAGGTACATAGGCTACAAAACCAGATGGCTAATATAAATAGAAAGATAGAAACTAAGACTCAAAAGAGGATGCTAGAAATCAAAAACTCTATAACAAAAATGAACACATTTGATAGACCCATCAATGAGTTGGAAATGATCAAGGAAAGAATCAGTAAGGTTGCAGTATAGCAATAGAGACATCCCAGATGAAGTACTTGGACAAGAATGTTGGGGGCAAAATGAAGCAAAATATGAAATATGGAACAATTTCCAAATGAACAGCATATATATATACCTTATACACATACCTTACTGGAACAGCAAAAGGATAACAGAAAAAAGAAGAGAGGTATTTGAACTACTAATGTCTGAGAATTTTCTGAAAATAATAGCAGGCTACCAGTCATACTTCCAGGATGCTTGGACAACATTAAGTAGGATACATACCAAAAAACTACACCTGAGCATAACGTGTTCAGAGTACAGAAAAACAAGACAAGAAAAGAAGAATATGTAGGAAGAAAAAGAATTTTGTCAGACTTCTCATAAGGCAACACAAGCAGGAAGATAGTAGAATGAAATACTTATTTGAGAGAGGAAAACAAAAACAACAACTACATAGAAGCCTATCCAGAAAACTGATCCATTCAAAGAAAAGGGAAAATAATAAAAAATTTCTCAGATAAACAAATATGTAGGGAATTTATT